TACCTGGCCTGCGCGCAAATGTAGGCCTATAAATGTGCCTATTTGGAGATCTGATACTATTTCTGATTGTCTTAACTCACCATCACTGTGGAGCTTCTAAAAGTAATGTTTTCTTCTCCTCAAACAGCAAGTAAACAAAGTCTGTTTTTACATCCATTGAGAATTAAAATAGTTCCTCAATGTAGCCCATTTAAAAATCTTTCCAGCTCTCACCCTTTCGATTACCACTCAGCATGAAAGGAGAAAGATGTCAAATCACATTTTATGTCATATGCGCCGAATACAACAGGTGTAGACCTTACCGTGAAATGCTTACTTACAAGCCCTTAACCAACAATGCAGTTTTAAGAAAATATTTACTAAATAACTAAAGTAAAAAATAAAAACACTATAAAATAATAATGAGGCTACATACAGAGGGTACCGGTACCGAGTCAATGTGCGGGGGTACAGGTTAGTCGAGTTAATTTCTACATGTGGGTAGGGGTAAAGTGACTACAGCGAGTAGCAGCAGTGTAAAAACAAAGGGGTGGGGGGGTGTCAATGCAAATAGTCTGGGTAGCCATTTGATTAATTGTGCTCTGTTCCGGTAGAAACTTCATAAAATAGGCCTACCGGATTACTTCTTATCCCTTGCGCAAATAGCCTACAGCAGTGTCTGTCTGTCCGGAGCTCACTGGCATGGGAGGGCCCAGAATATTTTATACAATGTTGCAAGTTTGCTTGCATGAGCTTCCCACCAGACCAAGTTAATACAATAGTTGATACAATGTTTCAAGTAAACTTTTTTTTAAATAAGAATGCGTGTTTTGGCAGAAATGCCCTCTGGAACATGTGAACTTTCATGTGCCTTAATAACAAACTTGTATGCCATCTGTAAATATGAATAAAATTGTTAAATTACGAGCCTAGTTGGTTTAGCCACAGAAAAAGACAAGGAACATTCCTGCTAGCCATGATGATTGGCTGAAATAATAGGTGGGCAGGACATGCCGAGAGATGAGTTCAGATTGGTCTGCCATGTAGCATGCTTCTATCTATAACATGAGCTGGTCAGTATGTGTAGGTAATCCTTTCTAACGCAGCTTTTTTGAAAGATATCACGTAGTAGAACTGCAAAGGTGTTGCTCTCCACTTTCTGGAGGACCGAGTTTTGAAATCAGTGGAATGCACAGTGGAATTAGAGTATGATAGCTAAGGAAATTGAGAAAATTCTGCCGTTTGATTGCAAATATGCAGATGGAGTCAAAAAGAGAACACACAGAAGGCTGTTGTATAAAACACCTGTCTCCGATTACATCTTCAAACTAAGGCAACCATGGCATCCGTGACAGAGGGAGAAGCGTCCATCCATGTATATGGGTAAGATAGTCTAGCTAGCTACATTTTCAGATATTACAAGTTTCTAATTTCGTCAGAAAGTCGTTTTCATTTCAAGTTAAAGCGTGCTGGCTCGCTAGCTAACATTACGTGTATGATCTGTGTAGTAATATTCGTATCTCAGAGACATTTGCATTGCTAGTTATAGCCTAATGTTAGCTAGCTAGCTAACATTGAACCTGGTTGGTTAGCTACCTGCAGATTCATGCAGGGTAGTAACGCTATGAGTTGGGATTATGGTTAATTGTTTAGCTAGCTATCTACATGTCTAAACAAAAGACCCCATTGCAAGTAACCATTTCAATAGAATGTTAATGTCACTGCGACAACTGTCGATAGACGTAGCTGGTAAATTCGCTTTTATCCAATGTAAAAAACACAATTTCAAATGTTGCTACATAAGACTGAATCGAGCCGGTCGGTCACATATTGGCAATGGCAATAGAAGTTACTTTTAGATTTGTATTATTTTCATTTAGATAGAATTTCGATTAACCACGACATTGATTTTGAGATATGAAGACTTTATTATAAATTAAACTGTTCCACAACAATGTGCATACGAAAATCTTTTTCTTCAGGTTAGGCTATATTGATCTCTGGCGCCCTCTTTAGTAATTAGTGTCTTCATTTTTTATTTCAGTGCTTAAAGCATCAGACAAGCTCAGTAGCCTACATATAGTTGATTTTATTCAAACATAGGGTGTGTCTATATATGGAAAAATTCATTTTAATGGCGACCAATCGATTGGTCGAAAGAACAGACGACTCTCGTCGACTAAGATTTAGTCGGAGACAACCCTAACCTGATGCCCCGTTTACATTGTGTGATGTATGTCATTACGCTGTACGTCATCTTCATGCAATCTCGTTCCGCTACTGGACGGAGAGCATACGCTCTCGTCAAAAAAACAATAATACTGGCTCTGGTCAGAGATCGCATTTATTTTGGGAGATTGCAAAATAGGACCTTTTCAAGACAGGAGAAACATATTGTTTCAGTTGATAAAACATGTTTCGTTTAGTTACTTTTTGCTGAATTTGTTTCTTTCTAGCAAGTCAAGCTAGCTTACAGAGTCATTACCATCACAAACTTAAATGGGAGGCAACAGTCATAATTTGCTTAACAGACAATGTGTATTATTTAACATTACTATTAAAATAGTACCCACATATAGGAATGGGTAATTGTTTATCAGTTGCTAGCTATCCCATAAATCCATCACCTATAACCACATTTTCATCTCTGGTTTGGTAACTTCCTGTTCTTCAACGGACTCTAGCTGGACTGAAGATGTCAAAGTATGCGGCATCCGTAGCTCGACGCGCAAGGGGCGTTGCGTTTCCACACCGTTGTGGACTCTCAATTGAAATGCATGACATCCTGCGCAACATAACGGAGTGCTTATGGGTAATGTGAACTAGGCTTGAGTTTCAATTGGCACAAACCCGTTCGCGCTGAGTTGAGCAACACAAATGAGGGAAAGGTCGGTGGTTGTATTCGATATAAATTTGTATTAAAAGTATTAATTTCAGCACCCTGCTGAAGGACCGCAGTTGTACAGACAAAAATAGGTACAGGTAAGCATTTTCAGAATTGACAGTATCGACTGATGGTGACTCAATGTCGTTGCTTGCAAATCGCGCGACCAGTTAAAAATATTCCACTCCCCCACCATATAAGGTCATGTCTACACTTGACAGTTCATGCAGCTTTTGTATTTGGAGTTCTGATCATGGAATTCCGAACATGTCATGCGTCTACACATACATTTAAGTGTGTCTACCATGTCCACATTGCTCTATATTCAAATGCCTGTATGCAATCTGGAAACGGTTGAACAGGCTAAATCTGATAACACAACAACAACTTGATGGCAGTTGCCAACTACTGTAGCTAGCTAACTAACCAGCTAACCCCTGTAACTGGCCAGCAAGCTAGTTAACAAAGCTAAAGGGATTGCAAACCGGTTAGCATAACTCTAGGCAAACCAAAATATTTGTCTAAATAAACTAGCATTTATGAAGCCACCAAACACGTTCCTCAAACATTAGGAACGTATTTCCTCCAACGTTTAATGAAAAAACGTGAGCGCGGAGAGCTGATGTCGCCCACTGTATGCGCTTTAGCCAGGTGTACACTACATGATTTGGGGACCGATTTGGCTGTCCTAGACACTTTTTTGAGATCGGAGACAAAATCCCCATGCCTACTCGGGTGCACGGCAGTCACTGACGCTCGTTTAATGTGAGCGGGTGAGAGATGCAATCTGAGGGTTACCGATGTCTTTGAGCAGTCCCAGACGTCCTGATATTTTCAAACATGTTTGATTTTATCGGCACAAAAAGAGAAGCCAGTGAGATTAGCTTCGCAATATTTCCCCCGTTGTTTTTGCTAGCTAGCTAATTATTAACTAACATTAGTGAGATATGGAACACCGTTTAGGTCTTTGCGTGTCAAATAAGATGCACGTCAAATAACAATATTTGACGTGTCAAATTAGCTTGTTGACCAACCAGGACCCGAATATTACTGCATGTCACATACTTTAACGCGTTTATTAATTTTTTACGTAGTTATTACACATTGATTACACTATCACTCGTATTTCATGTCATAACGATTCTTCGATACCTTTGCTATGATGCTGGTAAAGTTGTCTCGCGCACCTACAGTGCTAGTCATAAAAAAAAGCTAGCTAGCCGATGGATGCAAACAATGTTCTTCCCCAAAAGCAAAACGACATCTGTTTCAGTAGCTATAGTTAGCTAAAAAGCTAATATTTGAGTAAACTCTTCACAGTTGTGTTCTGCGGGTGTCACCGAGTAGACTGCTACCCCATTTCATTGCTCTACATTCCAACCTTGTTTAACATGATCTAGTCTAAATATGACATGATTCCACCAATTGTAACTTTCTGCATCACTTTAAGAGGTTATTTTATTTTGAAGGCGAACCGCAAATTCTCACTATTGTGCCTAATCCTTTTTGTGGCTAGCTTCACAACACACAACCCGGTCCGGTCGAGCCTCACTAGCCAGATGAAGCTAGCTGGCTGCTTATAACGTTAGCTTTGGGCAACAGGGTTAAGTAGCTAGCTAACTATTTATTTTCATGAACCGAAGTTCAATTTCAATAGGCGAACAACAAGTGGCTACCTAGCTAATACTTACTCACAAGGATTCCTAAATCATTGCTAAGAATAATGAAAATAACTGCAGTTTCTACTGGTCATTGTCTTCAGGCTGGTTGCATTGGTGCTAGCTAGGGACCAAGCTAAAGCTAGCTAGTTACCCCCCAGAAGTTGCGGTCGAACAAATAATGCCTTATTACCAACGCGGTATTGTAAACACATCGTTCGTGGCCGGTGTGTGCTTCTTTGCAGACTTTTTTTTGTACAGCTTTGACTGCTACTGATAGACGTGCAAATTCAGGACACACAACATTCTATAATATAATTGTGTTATTTGACGTGTCAAATTAAAAGCAAAGACCCAAACGGCGTTCCATAGGGAGACAGGTAAACTTACCGATACTTCATGAATCGGAAAAATTGTTGGGATGGCGTCCGGTTTCAGAACAAATAGTTTGGCATACCCCATTGACTTCGGCCCCCAATTTAGAAATGAATCCCTGTTGAAATGCGCGCTGCAAATTCGTGTTGTAGTACCGATATGAACATCTGGATTCGAAGTAAAAAGAAACTGCACCCACTGTCTTCTGATTTCAGGGTCTTTAGGAAGACTGTGTAAAGTATCAGTCCTGGCTTTGGAACAACCAAGAAAGCTACAAGTAGTTACCGGCGGTATGTGCGACATGGTGGAGTGGCTAGAAAAGTGTTAGCTAACGTGACTGTTTACATTCTTCAGAATACACGTCTGTTAGGTTTGGGAGGGAGGGAGGGAGGGAGGGAGGGAGGGAGGGAGGGAGGGAGGGAGGGAGGGAGGGAGGGAGGGAGGGAGGGAGGGAGGGAGGGAGGGAGGGAGGGAGGGAGGGAGGGAGGGGGGGGGGGGTTGTACAAAGTCGTCGTCTTCTTCTTCAGTGGGGTTTATCGGCGGTTGGCATCCAACGTTATGATACATTACCGCCACCTACTGTACTGGAGTGTGGGCCAGAGACAGGGAGAAACTAAATCCTAACTGCCAGCCCCGATGCTCTTCAAAAAGATAACAAAATATTTGAAACTATATCTAATGACGTTCTACTCAATATACTCTTTAAACTAATTTCCTGTATCCCCTTCATACTAGATCTCAGCCTCTCTCTTTCCCTCTGATACTGCCCACACTGTAGCAATACATGCGCCAACATCTCTGTTTCCTGGCAATAATCACAGTTTCCTGTTGGATGCTTTCCTATCACATTTAAGGTCTTATTCAACTGGCTATGTCCCTCCCTTAATCTTGTAAAAATAGCCTCCTCTCTTCAGTCCCTTCCTGCTGTCCTCCCCGACTTTCCTCTGTACTTGAAATAAATGCCTGCCCTTGGTATCTCTATCCCTCTGCTTCTGCCATCTCTGCACCATCACTGTCCATATCAGGCTTTTCCCCTCTGCCTTGCTCATTGAACTACAATATCAACATCCCCACTACTAAGTGCTTGTTTAGCCAGTACATCAACTGCCTCGTTCCCCTCCACCCCCACATGGGCTGAGACCCAAGTAAATATTATCTGTACACCCATCTGTCTAATCCTGCCATGGGTTTGTATCACCTCATAAAGCAGGTCTTGTCTGCTACGTGAGCTAAAGAACTGGAGACTCATTAACACTGCACATGAATCAGAGCAAATAACTACTCTGTCTGAATGGCCACTCAGGGAAGTTAGGAACCTATATACACAAGCAGTCAGGAAAGCAAAGGCTAACTTTTTCAAACAGAAATGTGCATCCTGTAGCACTAACTCCAAAAAGTTTTGGGACACTGTAAAGTCCATGGAGAATAAGAGCACTTCCTCCCAGCTGCCCACTGCACTGAGGCTAGGAAACACTATCACCACCGATAAATCTACAATAATCGAGAATTTCAACAAGCATTTTGCTACGGCTGGCCATGCTTTCCACCTGGCTACCACTACCCCGGCCACCAACTCTGCACCCTCCGCTGCAACTTGCCCATGCCCCCCCCCCGCTTCTCCTTCACACAAATTCAGACAGCTGATGTTCTAAAAGAGCTGGAAAAATCTGGACCCCTACAAATCAGCTAGGCTAGACAATCTGGACCCTTTCTTTCTAAAACTAGCCGCCGAAATTGTCGCAACCCCTATTATTAGCCTGTTCAACCTCTCTTTCGTAACGTCTGAGATCCCCAGAGATTGGAAAGCTGCCGCGGTCATCCCCCTCTTCAAAGGGGGTGACACTCTAGATCCAAACTGTTACAGACCTATATCCATCCTGCCCTGCCTTTCGAAAGTATTTGAAAGCCAAGTTAACAAACAGATCACCGACCATTTCGAATCCCACCGTACCTTCTCCGCTATGCAATCCGGTTTCCGAGCTGGTCATGGGTGCACTTCAGCCACGCTCAAGGTCCTAAACGATATTATAACCGCGATCGATAATAGACAGTACTGTGCAGCCGTCTTCATCGACCTGGCCAAGGCTTTCGACTCTGTCAACCACCGCATTCTTATTGGCAGACTAAATAGCCTTGGTTTCTCAAATGACTGCCTCGCCTGGTTCACCAACTACTTCTCAGATAGAGTTCAATGTGTCAAATCGGAGGGCCTGTTGTCTGGACCTCTGGCAGTCTCTATGGGGGTGCCACAGGGTTCAATTCTTGGGCAGACTCTTTTCTCTGTGTATATCAATGATGTCGCTCTTGCTGCTGGTGACTCTCAGATCCACCTCTACGCAGACGACACCATTTTGTATACATCTGGCCCTTCATTGGACACTGTGTTAACAAACCTCCAAATGAGCTTCAATGCCATACAACACTCCTTCAGTAGCCTCCAACTGCTCTTAAACACTAGTAAAACTAAATGCATGCTCTTCCATCGAACGCTGCTGGCACCCACCCACCCGACTAGAATCACTACTCTCGACGGGTCTGACCTAGAGTATGTGGACAACTACAAATACCTAGGTGTCTGGTTAGACTGTAAACTCTCCTTCCAGACTCACATTAAGAATCTCCAATCCAAAGTTAAATCTAGAATCGGCTTCCTATTTCGCAACAAATTACAAAAATCTCTGAAGCTGGAGACTCTTATCTCCCTCACTAACTTTAAGTATCAGTTGTCAGAGCACCTTACCGATCACTGAACCTGTACACAGCCCATCTGAAATTAGCCCACCCAACTACCTCATCCCTATATTGTTATTTATTTTGCTCTTTTGCACCCCAGTATCTCTATTTGCACATAATCTCTTGCACATCTAGCATTCCAGTGTTAATACTAATTGTAATTATTTTGCACTATAGCCTATTTATTGCCTTACCTCCATAACCTTCTACATGTGCACACACTGTATATATATTTTCTGTTTTATTTTTGACTTTATGTTTTGTTTTACCCCATATGTAACTCTGTGTTGTTGTTTTTATCGCACTGCTTTGCTTTATCTTGGCCAGGTCGCAGTTGTAAATGAGAACTTGTTCTCAACTGGCTTACCTGGTTAAATAAAGGTGAAATACAAAATAAAAATATAAGTATCCAGACGTCTCTTAAACAAATCAGATGGATCAACACTCTCCCTATCTTTCTGTAGTTTCTCCAACACTTCTAGATCAACTACTGGAGGCGGGAGTAGCCATGGTGGATTTATGTACAAGTGCATGCACTATTCTGATTACGTAGTGCTACCGCCACCGGTAACATTAACCCCCCTTTCAACATTGTTTTAGGACTTTCACGATTGCTGCGAGCAAAGACTGATTATGATTGATTGTGTTGATGTGCAGCAGCATTACAAGATATAGCATGTCCTTTACATTATCTAGCTAAAAACGTACTACTTGGTTAGTTGCCGCTGCCGGGTGCAAGATGGATGGGACAGAACCTTGATGGAGGATCAAGCTCTTAGTAAATCCACTTGTGTACCTATCCTGATTTGCAATGCAGTCCGATGAGAAGTGTGCTGTGCATATGCGCAGGTACTGACTGAACTTCTCTGGCACTTGATTATTAAAAATAAATGTAAGCCAAATCAGACGAAGTGTCTGTTCTGATGGAAGACGGTGCAAAGAAACAGTTTCAGCCTTGCAGCCACCTACTGCACAAACTATCGCTCTCTTGCTTTTTCTCGTCATTACCCACAGATGAAAGGGGAAGTAATCAATATATTTATGCAAGCCAACAACGACAAATTATCTAGGTAGCTAGCACTGGAGCCTGATGGGATAGTTCAACTGAGGTATAAAGAAGGGATAATACGTAGCGTCACCAGACGCTGTGAAGTATGTGAAGCGCGCAAGAATAACTAAGTACTTCCATATCACGGATTTTTGGACTCTTAGAATAAGAGTCCCGTCCTTTTGTAAATGAAAAATGACGGTGAAAATTATGGAAATGTTCACAAAGATATATTTTACACAAGTTATCATACAAATAATAATTAAGTATTTATTTGCGATATTATGTGATTTATTTTTTCAAGCCTAAATGGTGAACAATGGTTTTTGTGTGTACTCCTATCATTTATTGCACCGACCACAATTTTCTGTACTTCGTGTTTGAGTAAATGTGGTGTCAATTCTACTCAGAAGCACTTCTAGTTTCCAATTGTACAGAATATACACCAAGAGGAGCATCACTGCTCATTCTGCGGCCCTTAAAAAGTTGCCAATCAGCTTAAATCAAATTGTTTTTTCATATTGGACATACATATTTCACATATTGGACATACATATTGAATCGTACACAATTCAGACCCCTTGACTTTTTCCTCGTTTTGTTACATTACAGCATTATTCTAAAATTGATTAAATAAATGTAACCTGCACTGTACTGCACGGCTGTATCTCTGCGTTGTGTGTGATTGATTGGGACTATAGACGTGGACTTCGGAGATCAGGCTGTTTTAATGAATCAGAATTCTGTCTGCATCCAAAAGAAAATACAAAACATTTTAGAGCACAAATATGTTCTGCCCATTGTCGCCTCTTTCTCTCATAGTGCATCAACATTATTTTTAGAATACAAAAATGAGTACAACCTCTCCTTATAATGTATCAACACAACATACATTTTACATAGATAAAACCACATACCTGCATCCAAAAGAAAATACAAAACATTTGTAGAGCACAAATATGTTCTGCCCATTGTCGCCTCTTTCTACAACATAGATGCACAATACAAAGGACTGGAATCAGTGGAGGAGCTAGCCATCGTTCACACATACAATACCTTAGCTAGCTAGTAACCACATGTTGAATTCAGAATGTTAATATCATCCTAAAAAGTACAATTACAATTGCATCTTAACAATACCATCCACTCATGAGTAAACTCTAAATATACAACATTATTCATGACAAAACACTGTGTGTACGACTTTGTGCTTGAAGGAATCTAACTTTTCTGAAGACGACAGAAAAAGCGTGCCTACCTCTCATAGTGCATCAAAATTATTTGAGCACGAGCACGCAGGGCAAAACGTAAGTACACACTCTCCTATTCCCAGGATGCAGGCATGCAAAATAACAAATCAACATGCTATATTAATATATGAACATGGTGAAATTCACAAAGTACTTTAACAACTGTTACATTCACCCCTCTTGAATTTCACCAACCTTGTAAAACGAAACAAAATAATCTACCAAGCTCAAGGCATAATTCTGAATTCAGCTCAAAGCTACCCATAGGGTTCAGGGAAAGTGAAAGTTGGTCAGACCTTCAACTGCCCCTAGATGCATAGTGCCTCTTACACTATATCTACCTTAGCCGTAAAATAAACTGTCATTCTGTACTATATCTCTGTACTATGTTCAACTTGCACCTTCTGGGGGATTGACTCAATTAGTCTCTTGACAGGTTTAACTACCCTCCCCGCCCTTGTGCGACCCACCACTGGGCTAGGGGCCATGGTGACTAACATTGGTTCTGGCCTTAGATCAGGGGTGTGAAACTCATTTTAGCTCAGGGGCCACATGGAGGAAAATCTATTCCCAAGTGGGCCGGACCGGAAAAATCATGGTATATATAACTTAAAAACAACAACTTCAGATTGTTTTCTTTGTTTTAATACGATCAACATACAACATAAAGCTGGAGCCTGAGGACAGTGTTTCCAAAATAGTACAAGCACAACATCACTATTAATCATAAAACACGTCAAGTTTATTTGAAAATTCTAAAGAAAAAGAACACAAACACACAATGCCTCAGTGATTAACAGAACTGTTTCACAGATCACAGAACTATATCAGGGGGTCATTTCTCAGGCAGCAATGTAGATAAAAAGAATGAAATCCTGTTCCCCAAACAAGTGCAAGAACCACAGAGTCAAGAATAGGTTAAATATACAAATAAAATAAAATCAATTAAAAACAATAGCACATCAACATAAAAACATATAAACATAAAGCTGGAGCCTGAGGACAGTGTGTCCAAAAGCACAACATCACTATTAATCATAAAACACCAAGTTATTTGAAAGTTCTGAGGACAAAGAACACACAAACACACAATGCCTCAGTGATTCACAGAAGTATATCACAGATCACAGAACTATATCAGGGTGTCTCATGTAGCACTTTAAGTGGGGTTGCATAGTTTATTTGACTCCTGATACCTGGCATCTTTTAGCTTTCACCAGCGCATCAATATCAGGCGTCACATCCTGAGTGGCAGCCAACTTCAGGATGTGATTCAAGTGCTTGTGCGTGAGCCTTGAGCGCAGCTTTGTTTTATTTATGCTAATTACAGAGAAAACTTGCTCACAAAGATATGTGGTTCCAAACATGCACAACAGTTTTGCAGCGAGGGCTGTCAAGTTGGGGTAACCTGGCAAGAGATTCTGATTAAATGTGTCCAAGCCAGCTGCGGCAAATTTGCCCTTCAAATCCGAGTCACACTGCAAGTCTATTTCAAGTTGGATGCTGACGGGCAGATCAAAGGGATTCACGGTGAATGGCGAGCAAAAAACGTTGAAGTCTTTCTCCAGTTCACCAAAAATCTGAAAGCGTTGCTCAAACTCCCTTAACAGTCCCGTTATTTTATCTTTGAACCGCTTCATGTCTGCCACATGTTGGGTCGCGCACACATTTTTCAGACAGGGGAAGTGAGCTGCATCACCACCGGCAAGTTGCGTCTCCCACAATGACAGCTTCAACTTGAAAGAACGTATGCTGTCATAATACTGCGTGACAACTTTGTTGCGCCCTTGCAGCTGTTTGTTCAAGTTATTCAGGTGCTCTGTAACATCCACCATAAATGCAAGGTCCTGCATCCATTCTGCCGAATGGAATTCTAACACTGGTTTGCCCTTTTCTTCCATGAACTGTTCAATTTCTTCTCGTAAATCAAAGAAACGCCTCAGCACCTCGGCTTAACCATCTTACCTCAGTGTGGTATGGCAGGCCATAGATGTGGTCTTTCTCTCTGAGAAGGCTGTCAAACTGACGGTGATTCAGGCTTCTGGATCGGATGAAATTAACAGTTTGGATGACCACCTTCATGACGTTATCCATCTTTAATGACTTGCAACACAAAGCCTCCTGGTGCAAAATACAGTGAAAAGTCAAAAGATCACGTCCTCCATTTGCAGATTGCACTTTCTCTCTGAACTTTGTCACAACGCCTGCTTTTTTCCCGATCATTGAGGGCGCACCATCTGTAGCCAGGCTGACAGCGCGGGACCAGTCCACTCCGACCCTGTCCAGCGCGTCGACGAGTGCGGTAAAAATATCAGCTGCTGTCGTTGTATCTGTCATCGGCACCAACTCCACGAACTCCTCGGTGACGGTCAATGTGTCATCAACTCCGCGGATGAAAATGGCCAGTTGTGCAACATCTGTAATGTCCGTGCTTTCATCAATTGCAACCGAAAACGCAATAAATGACTTTACTTTTTGCTTCAACTGGCTGTCCAAATCCACTGAAAGATCGGAAATCCTGTCTGCAACTGTGTTTCTTGTCAGGCTGATATTTACAAAAGCCTGACGCTTTTCAGGGCACACAATCTCCGCTGCCTTCATCATGCATGTTTTTACAAATTCACCCTCACTAAATGGTTTTGAAGCCACTGCGATTTCATTAGCAATGAGGTAGCTAGCTTTCACTGCAGCGTCACTGATGTCTCGGCTGTGAGTAAACACAGACTTGACCTACTTGCTCTGCCCCGGTATAAACAGTTTGCTTGCTTAACACAATTGCTATTGCGCCATCCAGTGGACGCAATTGGAACAGCAGTTTATTTTATTGAAAAATTGCAGCACATTTTTATACTTTACAAAATCATCTCGCGGGCCGGATTAAACCCGTTTGCGGGCCTGATCCGGCCCGCGGGCCGGACGTTTGACACCCCTGACTTAGATCATGTCTTTTCAGGTAGAGATAGCTTGCGAAGCAACAGTTGCTCTCTATATCACCTCACATTCACGCATTCTTCTCTCTTCCATAGCAGGCATAAAAGAAACAGACCGGACAAGTAGATGCGCAATGGATTATGATCATTGTAGTTAATTACCACGTTTTATGCGCTAAACTATGTAGAATATTGGCCTGTTGGAAACTACCACTCCCTACTACCTCACACAGTTCAGGCTGGATCTGATTTGTCTCTAGAGAAACTGTGCAATGTGCGCATTGAGCTCACAGAAAAAAACCAGAACGAAATTTAATATTAATAATTGAACTGATGTGAGTCAATTAGTTGTTTAAAAAACTAAAAATAACCTACATTTTGGTTAATCGCTCAGCACCAGACCTCCTTCTTCTAAGGTATTATGGCGGTCTGCAAACAATCGTTAGAGATGCATGCCGCCACCTACTGTCCGGGTGGTAAACTATATACCGTTTTTGACGAACATTCTAGAATTGTTGATTATTTAATCTTGGCCCCAGACCACTTCCTGCTGCATGGTGCTGTATAACTGGGCTTGTTGATCATTGCTAGACACGTTGTTTGTTGATCATTGCTAGACAACCATTTTCAAGTCTTGCCATAGATTTTCAAGTAAATTTAAGTCAAAACTGTAACTTGGCCACCTCAGGAACATTCACTATCTTCTTGGTAAACAACTCCAGTGTAGATTTGGCCTTGTGTTTTAGGTTATTGTCCTGCTGAAAGGTGAATTCATCT